TCAGCCCTGTAGGCCCCAGTCTTGGTCCTGGTCTCAGCCCTGCAGGCGTCTTGGCTCAGGAGGAATTCTCCCATTACCCTGGATCTACCCTCCACCCCCCCAGGTCCTGTATTTTTGACCTATAAGGTCACGGACGGCTTGAAAGACTCTCAGCAGAACCACAACATGCACGGACTCCGACCTTCATCTTCTGCTACGATATCAACCATGGAGGCAGAAACCATCATGTTCATACACGCAGGTCCTTCAGAAACAGCTGAACGTTCCCAAACTGCTCTAAAACACAACACTTTACATGCAAACCATGTTTTCTGCTAAATTTTAACCTTAGAACATAAAAATCAACATTAAAATTCTCCAGGAACACCATGAATTGTTCATAAATTACCCATCAACAATCTCCACCTGCATAAAATTACTATTTAGACAATATTTTAGTTTTGATTTTCTTAGTTCATGATGCATAAACTGAGGGAGCGGTGGCGCAGTGGTTAGAGAAGGTGAGCCGGTGATCGGAAGGTCGCTGGTTTGACTTCCTGGATCAACATCATGAAAATGTGGGTGGAAAGGTCAAACACCCACACCTGCCTCCACCCTTGTTAGACCCACTCTGGACCCTTGAGCAAGGCCTTTAACCCCCACCATCTGCTCCCCCAGGCGCCTGAGGTGGCAGCGCTCTGCTCCACTCAGAGGGTGTGGTAGCTCCACTCACTGGATGAGTTCAATAACACGCTCAGGAAGTGGCTACAACTTTAGGAGCCGACCTGATTCAAGATGGTCATTACAACTAAAGCAACCATTGAAAAAGTAATTAAATCAATTAATCAAAATCTATAACTTGGCTGGTTTCACAGATTTTGAATTAAATTTGAGCGTAGCTGTCAAGCCTCCCTCAACATATGATGATGCAACACATCTCATGAAACTGCATGTTCCATCCATCCAGTAGATTCACCCATTTCTTCCAGTCTGGGTCACTGGTGCCCAATCCAACCATCACTGTGGGAGGGTTGGAGGACACCTGGGCACATCACCAGTCCACCACAGGGACACCTGGACATGTCTCCAGTCCACCACAGG